TAGCTTATTTTGAATTTTGGGATCCTCCGCATGCATGCCCACCTAGCTGGTTTAATACAACTAGACTTGGTCCTCCTCTACGTGATGATGGCTAGAAAAAGAGATTTATAAAACATAATAATAGTTTTTCTGGATAGCGCCCTGTCTTTTGTCACAATTGCTGTGGTCAAACAAGGGGGATGCGGCTGAGTGATTTATTTGGTTTTGTCAGTTGTCTCTCCAGACTTTGAGGGCAGAGAATTGGGCTACACTTTCTGTAGCATCATTACAAAACAAGCCTACTGCAGTAGGCAGTAGACGGTTGTCCAACTGGATCACCTGAGCTCTGGGTTTGTTCGGGGGCTCTGCATATGGGGCATAATTTACTTAGAATTTGTGAAACCTTAACATGGATGCTCTATTCTTTCTGCATTACTTACTTTAGTAGAAGTTATCATGTTTCCCAAAAGCTACTCTGACCTTCGGGATTATGGATATTATAGTTTATTCTCAGTTATAAACATGTTTGTTCTGCATAATAATCCATTTGGTGTTCTCCCTGTGGTTTGCTCATCCAGTTCATATATAATGTTCTTACAGCATCTCTACAGCTTATAGTAATACTTGTCTGTCACACAAGATCTTCAGGTGTTTATTGTAGTCTCTCTGAAACAAATAATATGCCGCACCTTTGGCTGTTTTGCCATGGTTTGTATATTTGGTCTTTGGTAATGAGTTGCTGCTTCCTTGATCCATTGAAAGATCAAGTTAAGTCCTCCTTAAACCAACCATGTTTCAGAAACACATCCACGGGTTAAATATAGATGATCTATCCTTTTGACTTGCTACCTTGCATAATCGATTGTCTACTTAATCATAATCCAGCTATAACGCTTCCTATCTGTCTCCCAAACCTTTTAAGATTTCATTCGTCTAGTCCAGAGGCAGGTTAGAACTTATTCTTTTTTCCAAAAGAAGGAACAAGCATATATAATTTTTTCAGTGCCTGGAATGCGTGTTACAAACATGGAAGGGACCACGTAGAGAGATGGATTATGAGGTTTCTGAATCTAGAGTTGAGATAGAAGTGATAATTTGGTTCTTCCTATCTAATTCCTCATTTGAAACTATCCTTGTCGCCCTGCAATCAATGCTTGTTTATACATGACCTTGAACTCCCATATGATGTTATTGGTTGTCTTTGTGCAGGTTTAGAGTCAGACTGAAGCTTAGGTACCGTACAGGACTTGACACCCTAGCTTTGTTTTCTATTTGTAGAGCTTCTTGTGTGCATTGTAGCAGCAGTTTTACTATAACGCGTCTGTTGATTCCAGTGTTGGAGGGGCAGAGGCACTAACTGGTTTTTCATCAATGCTAGATTTCATCTATTGTTGTAATTACTTAGTTTTTTCCGCGCAAATTTCTAGTGCCCAGATGGGGAACTTGTCATTCATTTTTAATACCCCAGGATTCATAGTGTGCAGAGCTTACTTAAGCATATAATTTGGTTGTTACACAAATAGATTGTCAAACAACATAGAAATTAGCATTTGAATTCATGAGTTGTTGCAGTATAAACATCGTTTAAATTGACTTCCATTCAATTGAATACACCTAATTTTCATCACTTCTACAGAAAACTTTCATGATCTTATCTTTCGGTCCCATGTTTTACGCTTCACCAATGCCTATTACTGCTCCTTATCAATACTCAAACCTGCGAGTGGACTAATAACATCCACATGGCATATTTTTGGCCCCTAGAGACCGCTCTAGCTGAACACCAAAGGTCTGGAGTACCAGGAAAGTTCTATTCATGCAGACTCCGGATTGTTCATGGGCACCTGATATTTGGCACCAATTTCTTGCACTACACTTTTGGGGGCCAATTGTGTTTGCTACTTCTTAAAAATGATACATTTTATTTGAACCAATAACTTAGTATGGATTTTAAGTAAACATAATTCCAACAAGTAAATATGAATGTAGGCTTACTTTTATGGTACGTTTTATTTGAACCAATAACAAATCTTCCCCCTGCGTTTCTTTTTCTCTTTCATTTTCTTTTTTAAGGCCATTTCATTAAAAATATATTTGCATGGGGGTGCCTCTAAATTATCTGCTTGGACAATATTAAGTCGGAATAGTAAGATCCAACCCAATATATTTCCTCTAATAAGAAGTTTTTATGTACCCAAGTACCCAACCAATTGCTAGGAATCCGATGGAAAGTATGTTGCCAAATTTCTTCTTTAGGCTCAATTTGGGATTAGGTTCTTGTGGTTTAATAACCACTAAAGTTGATCCAGTTGCCAAAAGAGGGCTCCTAGAATTCAAATCTTAAATCTTGAATCTAATAGTTTGGGGTTGAGAAAGTTATGAGGAGGGAAGAGAGAGTAAAAGACAACAATTTTTTTTAAAAAAATGTCACGGTCAAATTTAATTAGCATACTTGAAATGATATTTACTTTAGATTGTTAAAATCGAGGGAACTGTCAGCTGGCAATCCACATTTTATTAATGATACTTTTACTATCATTTTTATTATATAATTTTCATTTATTAGATCATATGACAAATTGTGAAAATATCATTAAAACAATGAAGTGCCATTAACATTTCTCAAAATCAATACTTAATTTCAGCCGAAGCGCATAATATATTTCAAACCCCCTCCATCAAGAGTTAAGATCTTTGACATCACTTTTCTAAAATTGTTTCCAAATAATATTCTATGTATATTGACTGATTCAATATTTGCATTTCCAATTTAGTCTTTTTCAATTTTTATGCTTATTTCTTTATTTTCCTTTATCACGGGTCAAAACTATAGCTTCTATAAACTGAAGAAGTAGCTACCTTTTTCCTTTTTTTTTTTTTGCAATAAAATCCTTTTATCGATGGGCGGATTAATCCACTTATAAATTAAAACAATTTATGGAAGTTATAAATATTCGGTTAAAGGGCTCAACTAACAATAATGTTGATTTCTCAAGTTTTTTGTGGGAGCAGCCAATTACTGATATATTTTGGAAGGTCTACTTAGAACTAACACTACAAAAGAAAAAATTGTCATGATTAACCAAAATTATTGTCCTTCTGCATTTGCTATTCAGTCTTTTTCTTTTGGCAGGAAGTCAAGAAAAGAAGTTGACCCCAAATAAGATAAAGCACATGAAAGCAAAATTGCCTTATTTGCAAGTCAAGCATGTACACTTCATTTTCAGCACTTGCCTTCGAAAATTTCCAATGTTCCGTCAGCATCAATGATCACAGCTCATAAGGGCCAAATTTAAGACTCCACCGCTGCCCATGGCCCAATACCGGTCATTGTTCACTCCAAGGTCGTCCAATACCATCCACGTGTTCTGAAATAATCCGTATTACCAATTCATTGGGCCCACGTGAACTTGATGTGATATTCCATTTCTTTTCGGATTTAGATCAGATCCTATAGCTGGCGCTAGATTTCGGCTCATTTTTTCGAATCAGTTGTTTGAAAGTTTCTACGCGTTCACATTTTCTTTTCTTTTTTTAAAAGTCCAATTTGTTCACTAATAAAAGTCATCAATTTAATAATAATTGTTTCATTGACTTTCTGGCACCCAATAATTGTTTTTATCTTGTAATTTATTTTCATAACTAAATTCGAATTCTGGGAGATCATATGGTTTGTGGAACTTCAAGAATGGGGTCTATTATGAATTTAAATCTAATTTTTATAGAAGGATTTAAATCTACAATTTTCTCTTTTGATTTGGATCTTTTGATGCATTGATGACTTGCATTATTAGTATCTACGACTCTAGGGTTGTAATCGAGTCGAGTTAAGTTCGAGCATGGCGAAGGATACTCGAGCTCGAATTCGAAATCGAGCAAGTAGTATTATTAGAATTTGAACTCAAGTTCGATGCATTGCTCGTAGAACTTGAGTTTGACTCGCATGGATTCGAGTCAATGAGAGCTTTATCGAACACGAGTCAGAAAATTTTATTTTCTTAACAATTTTGAATGGAAAGACATTATCGCCCTTTAAAAAATTTCATACGACCTGAAACATTTCGTAAATTCAACCACTCTTTTGAGCATAAAGGTAATTTCATAATAATAAATATATTAAATAATTAAAAATAAAAAGCTTGATAAGGCTCAACGAACCTTCGAACATTGTTTTTGCGACTTGCTTGGCTTATCGAGATATTCGAACTCGTGATCAGTTCGATTTGATTACAGCCTTATATGACTCAAGTATTAATGACGATTGGATATAATAAACAGGGTCATACTAAGAACTGAATTCAAGAAGAAATAGTATTGAATTTGTATAAACTAAAATCTCCTTTAAAAAGGGAATATGTATAAACTCCTGAATAGCTTCTCTCATGGGTTCTGTGATAGCTCGTAAAATATTAAGAAGAAACAGTATGGAATTTAAGAAGACAATAGCACAAGAACTGAAACATCAAATCGTGCTGAACCATTTTTAGTTAGTTTATTAATAATATTGGTCTCTATTTTGCTAAAGCAAAAAACTGAAACATCAAGAATAATTCGAGAACATTTGCTAGATAGTTGTTTAAATTGATAAAGCTTGTAGCCACCAATTTATTAATCACAACTTATATTTAGAAATTACTCATTAGAAAATTGCTATTTATAAAATAATAAAAATTAAAATTTTTTGTATTGCTATCTTCTGTATAAAAAATATTATATTAATTTGACGTAAAAAAGTAATTGAGAAATATATTAAAAAAATAAAATTTTCGAGAGTTAATGGCAATAGGACTTTGCCCCTGCAGTCTGGACAAGAGATGTGTGCAGATTGGCGGACCGTCAGGGTGTCCGGTCCCAGCATTAATGAAAATGCATCAATAACCATTTCCACCATGCCAGCCCCACAAGGCCGCATTGCCGACAGAATCGTAATTACCCCACATGGAACTCTGAAGAATTTATCAAATCAAATCCATTTTGAAAAACCTCCAGAAGGACCAGCCGACCAGGACCCTGAACTAATCGACATCAACTGCTTCATATTTTTCCCACGTATTCAGCACTTCCCATTTTGACACTGACTTGATTTATGCCACTTTATACCAGACCCTACTACTAACAAAGACACACGTTACACTTTCTTTAGCAGTAATTCTTGCCTTCTTCTGCAAATGCATAACGACCTTTCTGATATTTCGGTTATCAAATGAGGAAAGAGTATATTTTACAGTTAAAGGTTGCTTTTTTGAGCTACTAGTTGGTAAAAATCAAGACAAGAAAACAACAAAAGGGGAAAAAAAAAAAAGGAGCGACCCTTTTCTCAGTTTGCTGAGACAATGGAGGAAGCTTTGTTGGGAGGAGAAAGTAGTGGAACCCATTCAAGTGCTTGGGGGAGAATTCGAAAAGGGGGTTTTAGTAGGAGATCAGATGCAATTGCTTATGGATCAACTTATCAGAAAGCTGCTGCTTTGGTTGATCTTGTGTGTTATCCTCACTTTTTATTACACTTACCGTGTTTTATCTGTTTATTTGGGAATTCTTGGCTTGGATTTTGTGTAGATAGTCTGTTATCTTAAAAGATTCGTGCTAGTTTGTAATATTGGTGCTAGTAAATGTTCTATAAAACTTCTCAAAAAAAGGACCTGCATGAGCTGAATGGGTCCTTACTTCTTATAGTGAAGTGGTTTTTTCGGTTGTATGTGAAAAGAACATGACTTTTCCATTTGAAAACTGAAGGAATTGTTGAAAAAGATTAATTAGGATAAGACTACAGTTAGTTACACATCATGAAAATTCTAAAGATTCCGAGGTCTATGATTATTCCCTATTAGTACCTATCTCCCTTTCTGGTTGGTTTTAAGTATCATGATTTGTTGTAAAGGTACGATCTTTTCAGTCATTTACTGAATTTGGTTGTGTAGACAGACGAATAGAATTACAAATTGATTATCATCAAGCACTTGAGTTAGCTAGCCTAGTAATGGAACATTCACTTTTTTCCTCTTGTTGATAGGAAGGGCGTAATTCAGCATGCTTGTGTTGGTTTGGAATTTGGTGAATAAGAAACTAAAGCCTTCTTACCCTATCTCTTGTTTCTATATTTACACCAACAGAGAAGCAAGGGAGTCTGTATACTATTTAAGATTTTGAATGCAAAAGAAAACATGGATGGAGAAAGAAACATGGTCCACATCTCTTTTAGCATTTGGAAAATGAAAATTTGACTACAAATAGGATAAAGTATGATCAGTGTTCTTGTTTTCAATCTGCGATGTGACCAATGAAGCCATAGTCCTATCAATACTCAACTAGAAGTGGTCTGCAAACGTGAACAAAATTTTTCCTGAGTCAAAAAGAGGCCTGGTACTTATTACACTCACATTTCCACTGTGTTGTTCATGCATTAGCGTTGCATGTGGAAGATGGATGTTGACTTTTGGTTACCCTTCAGGTGCTTGTTGAAAACTTGAGGATTGGAGTCATTTCTTCTTTATCTTCTTTGTGCAGTTTCTCTTGGTAATACTAGAACTAAAAATCTAGCCAAATGTGTTAATGTAGAGAGCTGACATGTCACTGTTGGATTGCTTTTTAGATAATTAGATCTGCAATTGAATTCTCTTCTTTGATCTTGGTCCTTCCCCAGCCTTGAAAATTCTGTAGAACTAAATCGGTATGCTTCTGGAACTTCTAGTGGAACAGATGAGGGGAAATTTAAACAATCAGTTTCTTTGTCATTATCTTGCTTCTTTCCAATTATTTGTTATGGTTTACTTGTATAAATGTGTAAGACCAGTCCACACTAGTATCTCTAGTAATCATTTTTATAGACTTGTAATTTATTATCAGACGGTTTTCTCAATCTTTTGTTTCAACTTTCAATTGGTACCTTTAAACTTATTTGCAGTTTGAATCATTTGCATTTGCAGGCTGAGGACGGCATTGGACTACCTGAGGAAGTTCTTGATGAATCAAGCTTTGCAAATGCTGCAAAATATTACTTCACATTCATTAAATTTGATTTCCTTTGGACCCTTAACTATTTTGCTTTGATTATATTAAACTTTCTTGAGGTAGGTGGTCCCCACCTAGCTTCTTGTTTGACCCAACTTATGCAGAAGCTCCTTTACTGTATTATAGAAATTCTAATTATGCTCTGTTCATTTGCTGAACCACATTTTTTCTGGCTGGTGTTTAAATTGTTTTAGAAACCATTGTGGTGTTCCAAGTATTCTGTACATACTTGCAGTGACAGAGAGTACTTCTTCCTAGGACAACTACCATTCTTAACTTCTACTGAGTCTCTTATATATGAGGTAAGGTCCATATCTGTGGCTGAGTTTTTTTTCAGTTTTTTTTGTTTGCTCGGTTACTTTCCTTGGGAAACTTTGATTCCTTTACTTATTACTACTACTTTGGAGATAGCTTGATGTTTAGCTTCCCCTGCATTTTTGAATGTTTATAACTCTTGAATTTTCTTTTTAGAATTTGTTTCTTCTGTCATTATTATGATAATTACCTTTTGTTATCCCTCCCCTTTACAGGGTGTGACTCTCCTAATTCTCGTTGTACATATCTTGTTCCCCCTATCATATGAGGGGTTGGCTATTTACTGGAAACGTCTGCTTAACCAACTGAAGGTACTTGGTCTCTGAATTTGGTTTATTAAGTCCCTACAAACCTCTATTGATTTCTTTTGTTTCTTTGGATCCCAAATATTTTTCATTGTGATGTGAAAAGGGACAGAATATGGGGATCAAGGAAGTTTTAAGATGCAAAATAAGTCCTGGTCCAACAGCAGTACATCACTTCTCAGATTGAGGCCTCTGTTAACCTTCGAGATTGGGCAACAAACAAGTCATTAATACTCAAAGTAATAATCATTATTTCTTCTTGTTAAATAAGTCCAAAATGTAATTATTCTTCACAGAAAAAATTTAAGGTTGTTATATGAAAGTGACAAGTCCTTTAAGTATGAAACTTAGGTAATGGAGATTTGACGATGACAGCCAGAACTTGATTGCTTATGCATTAGGCCCTACTAGTTGGTTATGTAGCATCAGCATGTCTTTTTGTTAAAGAGGCAAACCCACTTAGACATCCTATGTGATCTGGGTAACACGAACTGAGTTAAATTGTATATGGTGCCCAATAACTGGTAATATACGTTAAAATGGGTCGCAGATCCACATTGTTTAAGTTAGGCCTTGAACTGTAGACCTGGGCATATCTAGGTTTATCTTGACTCTTTCCAACCAGCTACCTGAGTGGCTTTCAACCCACCATGACGTGGCTGCCCTACTTGATCTCCTTGTTAGCTTGGCAGTGTCTTCTTTCTGTATGTCAAGGCGAGTCTGATGTACTTCAAAGGCTAGAAAAGGCGCTCCATTGATACTGGTTTTTTGCGCCATGAATTGCAGTTAGTGATGTCGTTGCCAATTCTTTAGAACTTGTATAAATGTTCCTGCTTTCTTGATTTTTCATATGAATAGGTGACACTGTATGACAAATCAACCATATAGGCAGAATTGCATAGGCTGTTGGGCCATTTTTATACAGAATAATTTGGGGATGGTTCTGAAATTGATTTTTTAATGGAATCAATGAAATACTATACACGTTAGGTTGTGAGGCAACTGAAAATATTCAATGGCATTGACTAATAGTCATTTCTTTCTCACTGATTTTTCAGGTCCTTTTGCTGCTCATTATGGTTGCTGATATCTTAGTCTATGTTCTATCTCTCTCTCCAGTGGCCTTCAACTCTCTTCCATTCAGGATTGCACCCTATGTCAGGGTTGTGTTTTTCATTCTAAGCATTAGGTATGAAAAGTTCATTTTTACCTCATTCCCCAATTATAAGTATCACCTCCTGTCCTGCTATTGTTCTTGGCAAGAGATCAAGTATAAAGGTTTGATCTTTTTATGGAGATCTAAATATTTCTTGAATCTTGTAGAAATGTAATTCTAGATGGATGTAGGCCATTAACAATAGCAATTATGGAGAAAAGGTCTTAGGTTCTAAATTCTTTTCAAGAAACTTATATAAGAAAAAAAGGGAAAAAAGGACTTAAAAGTAATGTCCATGTCTTCTGCTGGTAAAACAGACTTGTAAAATCAGAGCAGATTGCTGGTTCTTTGGCTTTTGAAAGTTTTTTGGTGAATGGCTATCAAGGTTGAAATCCAAGGATAATAGCAGCCATGTAATTTTATCGCAGAATCATTGGTTTGATTTTTCGTGTTCCACAAATATGTTGTAATTGCACATAATTAGTTTTTTTCCCCATTTAGTATCTTTCTTGAGTCTGTTAAATGAATTCTGATTTACCAAATTGGATGGTTTCTTTTCAATACAAGGGACTTGTGCAACAGCATCGTTATACTAGCTGGAATGCTGGGCACGTATCTCAATGTCCTGGTGTGTTTTCCTCTCTATCATTTGTTAATCTTGTTTTTGTATGTTTTTGGAGAGAACTTAAAAAATATTTCAAGTTGTTACATGACTGTCTTAGTGATGAAACTCTTCTGTTATCCAACATTATCTAATGCTTGTTCTTTTCCTTTTCTCCTCTTTCATTAAACAATGTCTATTTTCAGGCTTTATCGCTTTTATTTCTGCTATTCTCTAGCTGGATAGCATTTGTCATCTTTGAAGACACCGAACAGGGGAACACTGTATTTACCTCCTATGGCATGACACTCTACCAAATGTTTGTTTTATTTACCACATCCAACAATCCAGATGTCTGGATTCCTGCATACAAGTAAGTTACATCACAAATTGTACTTTGATGTCTATCGTTCATTACAATTGGAAGTTAACTGTGCAATTATTTTACATCTGGTGGAGTTCTGTTGTCCACCTCTTGTGGTTTTGCTAAATGCATTGAATGATTGATAATATTCTAATTTCATCATCCTAGTTCCAGTATGTCCATGTATACATAAACATACAGATCAAGGAAAGGAGATTAAGCTTCCATGAAATGACACTCTATATAGAACAGATTTCTGAACTTGTTACAATAACTGATCTTTCATGGTTATTAATCCTTTCGTTTTATTAATGTTTAACATAGCGCTAACGAAACTTCTCTGTCTTATAATTTCTTTAGGGCCTCCCGTTGGTATTGCCTTTTTTTTGTTCTTTTTGTGCTTCTCGGTGTTTACTTCGTCACCAATTTGATCCTTGCCGTTGTTTACGATAGCTTTAAAAATGAGGTATAGGTTTCTTTTGTGCTTTATTCTTTCCATTTTTTTAATGAATGGTTATATAGCTCTTTGTCTGAGTTATTCCTTGCGAATTCTAAACTTTGTGTGGCATCTCTTTCCATCCTCACGAAAGATCGCATTTGAGAATTTTTCTTCAGATGTGACTATTTTTACCACATTTAGTGCTACATCTAACTTGTTCTTAGCATAAATAATTTGTGTTTTTCAACTTTTAAATAAGTTCAAATAAAAGGTAGCCATAAAAACAGTAATTTTGTTTATTTTATTATTTCTATTGCTGGTTACAGTTTCTTGTCCCACTATTTGAGGGTTAATACTCATTCATATGTGTTTCCTTCTTTCTTTCACCTTCTCATGGTACATAGCTTGTAAAACAAGTGGCTGAAAAGGATCGTTTGAGGATAAGAACACTGAGCAAAGCTTTTACTCTGGCTGATACCTATGTGAGTATGATTCCTGCTTTTGTCTTGTGAGTCATTGCTGCACAACTGTATGCCTAATGCTCCTGTGCTTCATCTTTCCATCTTCTTCCCTTTTTCCAATTACAAAATGATAGAGCCCGTCATGTCCTCACAAAACATGCATGTATGATATTCTGCCCAAACTTTGAATTGGACATACCATCTGCTATGTCCTAAAGTAACTTAGCAGTTTTTGCAATTTGCAGTAAACTTTGAGTTCTCTAATACCATGTTTTTAAAGTCAAAGACTGTTAAGTAGATTATGCAGAACAAAAAGATGAAATCTTATTAAAGCAACAGGCAAGGGCTTCTATCAGCTATATCTGCTATCTTTACCTGTCCATTCACAAAATTGGGGCTTTGACAAGCATTAAGTACTTCCGACTGGAATGCGAGCATGTCGCTGACAGTTTACAATGTACTAACCTCTAGTTTCATATTTCTCTGACTGCATGATGCTGTGGTCTCCTCTCCCTCTTTATGGTGCTCTCTGTGGAATGTGAAGCTGTGGACTTTGTTCTGTTGGAAAAGATATGTGGGTTTTGGACATGATCTGGGGGGTTTAAGAAATGGCATATTAGTTGTCAGCTTAGGACACTATTCAAGAATGAACAGTAAAAACAAGGATGCAATAGCAAGATGAAATGGATTTAAGAAGTAAAACAATAAACACTGCTGACACGGCAAGCTGCAGCCGGACAGGAGCCACGAGCATTTGTTTCCTCTGTTCATAATATTGTCTGTGACTCTTTTCTAGTATTTTTTCCTTTTTGGCTTGTTACCATTTTAACATTTTCTTTTATTGTGCACAGAATCTTGGATTCCTTGACAAAGATCAGTGCATCCGACTGTTTGAAGAGCTGAACAAATACAGGTGTATTTTTCCTACCATCTTCAACTCATCATATATAAAAACTTTCCCACTTTGAGACGGAATGATTATAGAGATTGAGATCAAGCTAGGCTTGTTTAATACAAATTAACCATGCTTGGACATGCTGATTTACCTGTTTAAAGATCAATCAAGAGCTGATCAGCCAAGCAACTAAAAACACTTCCTTAAACAAAACATCAATTGAGATTTAGTTCAAAGTTAATTAACACCAACTCTGAGTCACGGCAGCAGTGAATAGGGTAGTGAAGTGAGGAAGAAAAATTACCAGAGGCTACCATGTGCAGACCGCTAGTCGGCCTGTGGTGGGTGTGGTTGGCTGCCAGCTGGTGGTTGGAAGAGAGTGTTGGTGGTGATAGATGGTGGTCATAGGGAATGGTGGCAGTGGTTGTGATTGGAAAGAAACTGCAGTCTTCTGAAATAATCAGCAGAGTGGGGAAATGAGGGAAGTAGTAGTTACCCTCTGTATGGTGAAAAGATTTTTATGCCTATGTTTGCATACTAGGCTCATGTTTGTACTTTTATTTAGTGTTCACTCGTTGACTTGAACATACAAGCCAAGCTGAGCTTTGTTCACAAAGTGATTGGATCCTTAGCAGCTACAACCACATATATAATACTGACCTCCTGCTGAAATTTTAGAACTTGATGTGTAATTTTTTTTGTTCAAAAAATTCTTAACTGTGAAGATTAAAAAAGATATCTTACCTAGAAGCAATCTTTAGATCCGTAGTCATGATGTCTACGAACAGCAGTAGTGAGGCATGGTTCATCTTAATTTTTTGGTGAACATTGTGTTATACTGATTTTATAGCGATGAATGCTCGTCTGAAATTTAGTGAGTCACATAAACTAGCTGATAAACCAGAATTCCACAAAAATAGTGCATGTGAGATGCAGTTACAAAGATTGTTTAAAGAGTGATGTGATGGGGAGCTTGAATGAGATGCATAAAAGGTAGGTTGTGTCATTCTATTCCAAAAAAGTGGCTCAAGCATGAGATGGTGCTCTTCTTTAGGCGGCTATTGGAACTAGGAAGCAGATTGTGTACTGCTAACAACCAGAACACAGCTATAAATTAAGTTGGAAATGTATTTAATTCAGATTTTGTGCATGGCTCTATTTCAAGGTTGAAGTATAAAGCTTTTATACATGTCACGTTTATGTAAAAGCTCTTTCATGCATTCTTGTCCTAACCACCCACAAGCTCTCCTACACCCCCCCCCCCCACCTGGAAAAAAAAAAGGAATCCTGCTTTTTAAAAATCTCATATTTTCTCTAAAGATTGAACATTAACTATTGTCTATTAAATGATTTTTCCTTAAAATATTTTGTGGGATTATATGGTTTGTAACTTACTATTGGTTTATTGTTCCATAATCATTTCTTTGTCTTGATTATATTGACGATGCATTTACTAATCCTTTTGGCATTAATTTAGTTTCATACCATTCTTGATTTTCATGTGTTCAGAACATTACCAAAGATATCCAAGGAAGATTTCGAACTAATATTTGATGAGTTGGATGATAGTCATGACTTCAAGGTATTTTGTATATTCTTAAGTTGTTTGTTGGAGTAAGTTGGTGTTGTTGTTGACATGCCTATTATCTAATGGTTTTAATAATCAGAAATCTATCAATTAGAGGAAATATTCAAAATTTTCTGATCATCTTATCTTTGATGCTTTTACAATTTTCCAAGTTTCTGACAATATATGTAATTGTTTTTGGGTGGGTTAGAGCACAAGAGTTGCTGTCAGTGCTTCTTTTTGCACCAATCAGTAAAACTTTTGTCATCAATTGACACCATCATTTTGTTATTCATCATTGAACATGTATATGATAGTACTTTTCATTCCCATATCCGTTTCTCCTTCTGGATGTGTCCAGAGGCTAGGGTTTTGCTTTCAAGGATTTATGGCCTTCATAGCTGTGTGTGAAAGTGACAAACAGTGTTTTGATCGTGATACTGAATGTAAATGTTGTCTGTTGCACTCTTTCTTCCTCGTGCAGATTAATTTGAACGAATTTGCTGATCTTTGCAATGCCATAGCACTGAGATTTCAAAAGGAGAATTCAGTTAGTTCACTTTCTTTGAACTAGGCTATAACTGTCTCTTCCTGCTTCCCATTGCTTTGCTCTGATTCTTTTATTCCTTGCTTTCTCTTCACAGGAACCGATCTTTGAAAAATGTCCATCAATCTATCATTCGCCAGTTTCTGAGAGATTGAAGAACTTTGTTCGAAGCCCTACATTTGGATATATCGTAGCATTCATTCTTGTCTTGAATCTTGTTGCTGTCATTATTGAGACAACGGTAAAGCTCAAAGATGCAGTTTGGATTGTGTTTACCAACGTAATTGTCATGCATGATTAAATGAAGTCATTGTCAACAGACCCTGTCATGGTTGTATGCTCGAAGCAAAACCTTAAAGCTGAATAAATTCATGCCATTTTAATGCTAGAATATCATATAAATATCCGGAATATTTAGGGACTTTTGATTCATTTCAGGGTAGCTATTTTAGGGAGTTCACATTTGTTGCAAGTGGGTTCGATTTCAATTCTAATATACTGATCTGAGGAAAAATTAGAAAAAGAAAAGAGCTTAGGGTTTGTAGCTGAAGCATTGTTCTTTCCTTTTCTGTTCCTGGTATTTGAAGATTCTTCTATTTCTGCATTTCATTCGAATCGTTGCAGTCAAACTTTCTAGGTTAAGCAGACTTTTTGGCTTAGGGCTGTATCTGATTTTGTTTTGTACAGTTGGAGAAAAAGAAGATAAAGAATCATAAAGTTCACTGATATGCAAAGGCTTGTTTATTTCAGAGAGGGAGGGATATTGTAGAACTTTGAAGCATGAATATGGAAAACAAACAGTATATTTAATATGATTTGATAGAAGACAGTTTATAGTGGTCTCAAAGTGAGGAAGTGGCAATAAGTATCTCAACGTTTGTCTAGACTATCCTGGCTCCTATTCCAGTAGTTACAATTGGTTAGCATCAGCTTGACAAAGTCCTATTTGCTGGGTTGAAGTGGTTTATGTTGCAGTATTTGTCATAACATGCCTTAACTACAATTTTTTTCTGTCATTATGCGTATGTATTCCTTATCCACTCATTTCCTGTGAATTTGATGAAGTCAAGGAGAATTAGGATACAGGATCTTTCAAGTAGAGAAATTTCATCAATTTTCCTTCTTTTGAGGCTTTATCCTTTTACTGGTGAAAGTCATTATAAGTGTTACTCTTAATCTCACTTTATAATCCAATGGGAATGAGATCACTTACCTAGGATTGAGCAATTGAAGGGACCTTTTCACCATCCACCTCTATTAATCGTCCCAGCACTTGGCACATCTCAAAGCTGCAATGTGAACAAGTTTGGAATGCTGGAAAAGTGGAGCTTACATACCAATTCAACCTTAAAACTGATTGCTGATGAGTGAAGGTTTCACAGGTGCCATGTACTTGTGACAAGTTAGAAGCTTATGAGATGCATGGTCCACCTTGAGGGGGAGTGTTCAGAGAAGTAACATTGTTCTTGACAATATTAGTGTGCACTACTTTTATAAATGGTAGTATGTCACCCACATTGGGTTGGCCGAGTTTCATCTACTTTTTTGTCAAATAAGTGAAGTTAATTAGTAGCCACTGTGATATAGGTATAATTATGACATTTGACACAATCAATCTTATGTGTACCTTTTATGCATATAAACATGCGTTCTCGACCCCTAAGTACTAGGGATTTGTGTGTACTGTTTCACATAATTGCTTTTTAATGTTGCTCATTGTATAACCTGATTGGTTTCAGCTTGATATAGAGGACAATTCTGCTCAACAGGCTTGGCAGAAGGTTGAATTCGTCTTTGGTAAGCCATCAATCAACTATAATACAATGTGTATTCAAAGCATATTTGCTGTTTGACGTACCAGCAGCAGTGTTGTGTACTTGTTTGTGGGGGTGGGGAGAAATCTCACACTGACTTTGTAAGAGTCTGAAACCATGATAAAGACAAGGTATATAATTCTTCTTAGGCATTAACTTCTTATTTATCTGTCTAAATATTTGTCAAAATTTGGCTTGAGGTTTAGTATTTTGCTTAGCTTTACCTCTACCAAATACATGATCACACCAATAAAGCAGGTAGATGAGCTTAGAGCTTCCTTTTTCTGTCTCTTGAGCTACATGGTTACATTTATGCATATGTATGAATTTGTTTCTCTCTCAGTTCCTGCAGAACATGCATACTACATTTACTGCAATATGTAATGCAATTAACTCCTCTCTTAAGGATGTCGCATTATTGGTCATATGTCTTCACGTGTCAGTGTTCAAGAAGCTGCATTTGTGTCTACAGGTTGGATTTATGTCCTGGAGATGCTGTTGAAAATTTATGCTTATGGTTTTGAAAACTATTGGAGGGATGGTCAAAATCGCTTTGATTTTATTGTCACCTTGGTGATAGGTAGGTTATATTCATTATTGCTGCCACTTTTTACCATCCAATCTTCAGTTCCCTATGTTTCAATATCTGATGCTCCCATATAAGTTTCTTCTTGTTGTGAACCTCGGGAACTTCTATACTGGCTATTATGGGCGAAATGGTCTGGGCTTTTAGTTCTTCGAAATATCGCCATCTTTGACAACCTTAATTCTTGTAAGATTTGACTTGATCACTAACACAAGTCCCAGGAATCCTGTGACTATCATGGATCAATGACCAGACGAATGAGGCCCTGTCTTCTTGGCATAAAGGTGTTATTATCTTTGGTAAAAGCACTAAAAGGAGCTTAAAAGCTTTTCCATTAGGAAAATCTGTTTCTACCAGCAATTTAAAAACTATTTCTGCGCAGAAAACAAACAAGCAATAAAAGGTTGGATTTATCTGAATCCACCCAAAAGATCAATTGGGTCAAGCTGATCAATAAATGGAACTCAGTTGATTTTTCTATTTACAAATAAGAACTCTTTTGTCATAATGCAAATCATAACTTCAACATCCATTTGGAGAAGTCACTAGATAATGGAAACATCCACCATAAGTATATTGCATTGCCTAACTTGCCATTTTGTCTCTGATGTGGTAGATGACTTCTGTTTTTGCAGTTGTTGGAGAAACGGCCACTTTTGTGGCTCCCAACAGGCTGACTTTTCTTTCAAATGGGGAATGGTAAGAATGTTTAATCTTCTTAGTTTTCCTATTGTAGTGCTCAGATCAAAGTTTTGATTGACTTGGAGCTAAGAGCTGCATATGGGTGTTTCAAAACTGCTCTATATATATGCTTTCATTGTATCATAGTAATTCCCTGATGCATCTGGTGATATGTCCAAGCAAATAAAAGAGGACGGCTGAATACAGCAATGGTCATGCATGGTCCTATATAAATACTATTGCTGCAGCTACTTGTTTTTTCTTTTGATTTTTTGTGCTCATACAGCTACTTTATGATTTTGGCAAGTTAATTTAGGTTCACTGATTACTTAGTTTGCCAGTGGGAGTCAAATTTCATGTAGAACCAGGTTTTTTTGCTTGTTAACCGAGTTTTTGTTATGTTATGGGAATATGCTTGATGGGTTTTTGGATATTTTTGTGGCCATAATGAGGTTTCTGCTTAACTTCAAGCTCTAGGTGTGATGCCTAATTTTGTTCTTGGTTGCTGATTGACCATTTCCGTTGAAAGGTTTAAATCATTGGAGACCAAATTAGTTTCTTTTTTTCTTGTTTTTTCCCTCCATTTGCATAAATGTTATCAGATTTAGCTAGATTTAATGTCTAGTACAAGACTAGCTTGATCTAATGAACATGATCGTAGCTTCATCTGGTACTGCACATTCCCACCTAATCAAAGGTTAAAATTGATAGATATGACTTACTTTATTCATTATACATTTGACACGGTTTTGTTCTTCTCCCCTCCGATATTTATTACTTCAAATTGTATGGTCAGGTCTAGCACTTTTATTACTTTTTATAATGTCTATTTTAAATTCTCAGCAATAAGTTGATGAAATAATTGTATCCTTCATTTGTGAAGCAGCTTAAGCACCCTGTGTAATGTTCTAGACAATTTTAGCCACTCAAACTGAACTTTCAGTGTAGGCCCGAATTTTTGAATATGCCACTGTTACCAAAGTTGGTTCTTAATTTTGGGATCCAGGGCTCATCGCCTTGTCTTTCTTGATGAGTAATTACAATTTAGGACTACGATAAATGGAATCCATTTCTTTACAGGCTGACAACTTGTTGGACGTCCTAATTTCCAACTAATATTTTTCCTTATTTGGTTGTAATCGAGAATAATCAGCATTTGCATACATTCTAAATGCCTATTGATCTTTTCAGGATCCGCTATCTTCTCATTTTGAGAATGCTAAGATTGATAAGGCTTCTGATGAATGTTCCACAATATCGAGCTTTTGTTGCCACCTTCTTGACCCTCATACCAAGTCTGATGCCATACTTGGGAACCATATTTTGTGTCATGTGCATTTACTGCTCAATTGGCGTACAGGTAAATCAAGTATCCTTTTCTGACTGGATTTATAATGTTTTATTCAGCAGATTTCTTGCTTTTAGATGAAATTTATGTGACAAAATCTGTCTAATATTGCTTACTTCCATCAAATTCAGCATTAGGCCCAGTTAACTTTTATAATCCTCCAATTTAATTATTTTCAGTGCTTTGAGTCCATTAGCCAACTATAATCATATTATCTGACATCGGTTCGTGTATTCTTATAGATACTATTACTGCACATCTTCTCCTTGCAGGTATTTGGCGGGATTGTGAATGCTGGCAACCCCAAGTTGGAGAGCACTGATCTTGCTGATAACAAGTATCCACTGATGTTTCTGGAAATGTATGTATGCATTTATATATCTGTATATGTAAATGGAGATGTGGTGATATGTACTTGTTTGAGTGCATGTCTAATAATCACACACACACACATTGTTTTTTGACAAACTATTGGACCTTTTCCTTAAGTGAATTGTGTGAATCAGCTTTCCTTCTCTGTATTTTCTTGACAAGTTAGCTATTTACTCTTTAACTTCAACGATTACCCGAATGGAATGGTCACACTCTTCAATTTACTGGTGATGGGGAACTGGCAAGTGTGGATGCAGGTATTATAATTCCCATAATTTTGAGCATTTTTTCATGGTTACCAAATGTATGCTTTTGTCAAAAAGCTACTTTGCTGTTTTTTTTTCTATTTTTTTCTTTTTTGTGATATTTATCTTTTCAGCAAGCTGCTTATCGAGGTTTTATAAATTGCAATTTATACTGTCTGAGCATTCTTTCTCTATGCCTACCCTTTTGCTTTAAAACCAACCTCATTTGGTTCATGCATGAAGGTTAGTAGGCCTGGCTTTTGCTAGGGATTGGTTTTCAGTAAGGTTTGTCTTTTCCAGCTCTTAGTTATTGCAGATTTAGGTTAAGGTGTTAGGTAGTATTATAATAAACTATTATGTCGGTTTCTTGTTTTTATTAGGAGGGACAAACAGACAGCAATGTTTTAGCATTAAGATTCACCCTCACTTCATTTTCTCAGCTGACTTTGGGGTTTGACTCAAGCCCTTCTAAGATTAAAGTGTGAAACGCTATTAGTCCTAACTAATCAAGGAGGTATAACATCGTGGAGATACCATTGAGATTCACCCTTAAGCATTACAGCTTTCTATCTGAAGTTGCATTTTCTTTGCAATCAGAGGAAGTTCCGTTGCTCATTTATCACATTCAGCTCCATACAGATTCATCAGAGAAGAAAGGATACTTGCAGGAGTTATGAGAAGTTCTCAGATTCTTGGTAGCAAGCGAGACTTCTTAAGAATTATCAACAATTGTATTTTCGTAAATTTGCTTAGCTTCAGAGGATGGTTGTCCTTTGCCAGTTTACATCACAATTACTGCTTGATTATCTACCCATATGTTCACAATTCTATGAACTGTTAGAACAATAAATAATTTGCTTGAGAAACTCACCTGAATTGCAACTTTGTCCATTGACAGATATTATGTACTTGTCCAGAGATTGAATATGTCTACATATTATCTAAATGGCAGGATATTATTAATTGTGCATTCAACTTTGCCTTAGATTAACAGATGCTGAAATTTCTATTTTGTGGCTTTGTCTTGCAGCCATTTACATAACATAACTTAGAAATAATGAGAATTTCTTTGTTAGGACTATTTAGTTGCCATATTGGATTCTCTGATACTTTCATGATAAAATTTCAGAGCTACGTGGATTTGACTGGAACTTCCTGGGCTTATACTTACTTTGTCAGCTTCTACCTTATCACTGTTTTGCTGCTTTTGAATTTGGTAAGCTTCTGTTCCAATTTAAAATCCTTACCAGATAATTGAGTGGTCATATTTTACAGTTGTGTGTGGTGTGTGTCAACACCTCTCCTTGCAAAAGAACTTGATAACTGTAAATGAATGCCTTCCAGTTTTCATGGAACTTTTACTGCATTCTTAAACTATTTGCAGAGGTGGGGAAGTATTGTCTTTCATATTGGAAAGCAGTTATAAAGTTCGGATACATACATGGCTTTGGAGTGCCTATTGTCTTGCTTTGTTGTGCTTACTTTTGTTTTCTTTGTTGATATAAAAATCTAGTGTTCTTGCTTTTGAATGGTGTTCTATCTTGTGAGAAAATAAGCAAGTTGGATTCTTTTATTTGATATAACATTTTTGTTGATTCCTGATGTCAAAAGCTAAGACTTTATGCTCTTCATTTTCATTTCAGGTTGTGGCTTTTGTCTTGGAGGCTTTCTTTGCGGAGATGGAGCTTGAAACTTCAGAGAAATGTGAAGACACAGAAACCCAGGTTAGTCTATTTAGTTCATTTGAGCTGCTCTATCAGAGTAGAAATTGTAGGTACCATAAAATTGTGTTCATCAGTAAATCATTTGCTAAAAGGTACTTAATCAAACTGTCATTTTAGGAATTTTTGTTGAATATCTTAGAAATTCTTCGTAGTTCCATTTCCTTCTTATTGTTATTTACTTATAGACGTCTTCAAGGCTGGCTCTCTATGAAGTGCTTTACAGTTCTGCGCTGCAAGTTTAAATTAGCCATTGGAGGAAATACGTGTGGCCTAGTCCTTGTTGCAAATTAATCTTTTAAGCCACAAATGTCATATTCAAGCATTAGATCATGTTTCTTCTGGATAAGTGAAACTAGTGCAATCCTGTATGCTAGATTCGAAATTGTCAGAGCAGAAAACTAAGAAAAATGAGAACCTTGATGTCTTTACAATGAGGAATTTTTATATGTACGATGATGTCCCAAATGAATTAACATCTGCTAGACTGAGAGCACTAGCCTGTCAATCGCTAGATCAACTTGTTTGGCAATTTCAGTTGACTTTTTTTTGTTGACTTGATTGGTTTCTTGCAAAATTAAGTCAAGCTTCAGGCTGAAAGGTTTTAAGAGGTATAAACTTTACTGCCTTATGCCTAGACTGCAACCCTTTTATTTAGTGTGCATATGGAATTAAATGTACATGCCTTGAAGATGTCAAGTTTAGATGTACATGGAAATGAGCATGTAAAATTTTTAAGTTATATATGGTAGCTGGAGTTCTAGCTTAAGCTCTTGTTTTTATTTCATGAAGACACTAAGCTTGAGCTGAAGAACGAGATTTTGAGCTGTGCATATTGAAATCTCAATGAAATCCTGTTTAAGCATTGTTTAAAGCTAAGCTGGCATGAAAAAGATTCGCCATCAAGCAACATGCTTACAGGAAGAGGATTCTCACCAGACAACTAATGAACTTTTGCAAACTGGCTTACTTTTAAGGTCTAAACACCCTAGTAGGGTTGTTTGCCAAAACTGATTTTTTTATTGGAAATAAAAAATATTGTTGGTTTTATTGAGGTTCCAGAAATAGAGAAATCAAGTTCTAAGAAATTGACTTCTCCTTCTTCTTTACCATTTCCTTCTACTTCTTGTGCTACTATTATTTCTGTTTTTCTCAAATTCTTCACTCCCCTCCCCCTCCCTCTCCCTCTCCCTCTCCCTTTCCTCTTCTTCTCCATAAATCCTTTATGCACATACAAGAAGAGAATAAAGTAGAAGAGCAGCCACAAAAGCACACCATGGGATCCCTGCCTCATCCAGCATATTTCACTCCTAACAATTTCTCCCATGACCACCGCTGCCACCATTATTGATATCAAACTATCACCGCGGGGGTGCCTTCTTTCATTCGGCGTATTATCCAAATCCTGGTGCCCAAAATATCACGATCATAAGGACGTTAAAGTAGATCACATCCAAAATATTGCTGGTGTTGTGGGTCAGGCGTTCCTGACTGCTTTCAAATCCTGAGGCTAGCAGCTACAGAAATAAAGCCCTTCTTGTCCTCATCAAAATCAGGAGTAAGAGAAAGCCAAGAAACATCATCAGTAGCAGAAGAAGAAAAGGGACAATTCAAATCAACAAGAAGAGTTGTGCCTTAGTGGTTTTGCAGGGTTATCTGCTTGGAAGAAAGAAATCGACTTTAAATTCGATTTCTATAAGGTCGATGTTAATGTCGATTTCTCTACTTTGGGAACCTCATTGAAACCCACAATATTTCTTTAGTCTCCAATAAAAATAGGAATATTGTGGTAAACATCACCAACCTAGTATCATTAGTCTTTTGACAGAATATGTAGCAGCTCTCTTTCCTAGATGCTTAAGTTCTGGGGTTAGCCATTCCATGGACCCCATCTGATGCTTGTGGTATTTTCATTTGCTCTCATTTTCTATATGGAAACATCCATTTAAGGTCCTCAGTCCAGTATAATTCTTGATTGTCCACCAGTGACAAGGTGAATGATACATATTGCAGTGTGTCATTCTCAGAGCATATCTTCAATCACAATTTTCAGAGCAGTTAACCGCCTTAGAAAATGATCAATTATAACCAGTCAGCTCAACAAGCTACTAAGATGATTTTCTTGATCTTAAAAATTCTTTCTCCCTCCTGTTTCATCCTATTGATATGACTTGTGGCTTAGATGCATATTTTTTCACCAAGTAATAACCTTTCATTTGTACCACCTTATTCTACAATCAGGAAGGAAGCCGGAAGGAACACCGACGTAATATTGGGTATGTCTTGTCATTCTATTCAATATGTAATTTTCTTTTTAGATCTGGATTATATGAGATACGTTCAATTGACAAGTCATTGACTCTGCAGCATGAAATCACGAGGTCAGAGAGTTGATATGCTTCTCCACCATATGCTAAGTGCTGAGCTGGACAAGACACAACGTTCAACCGAACCAACCCCTTAAACCGTTCGATCCTGGTATTTAAACACAATTCACTAGTTTGTTCCACTGTATTTTATATGTCAAGCATTACTATTGGTATACCTTACCATGTTGCTGATAGATGAAGCATTAATTTGTTTCACGATAATACAATGTTTATGAAGTTGAGCACGCCTTAGTGGTTGCATTACTGTAAAACGGTAAAATATTACTGAAGAAGATTAGAATTTTACTGAACTTACCGTATATGAAGTCGAGCACGCCTTATTGGTTGCATTATTGTAAAATGGTAAAATATAACTATCAGAGATTAAAATTTTACTGAACTTAATGTTTAGTGAGTCTTACCTCATGGTGAAAATTTCAACTGACCAGGGGACTGAAAATTTTCACCTTTTTCCAGTTACTTGCAGCATATATATACATAGAGAGAGAGACAGAGAGAGAGAGAGAGATCAGTATGCTAGCTAGCTACTACATGCTGGTAGAACATATCATCATCCTGAAGGATGTCCAAACTCCAAACCTTTCTAAATTTTGACAGAAATTTTCTGTTCAGCAGATTTGAACCAATAAAACTCTTTACTGCTTTCCTTGGAAAAGAAAAGAAAACAGCAATTATATTTTATCAGGCATAGTTTTGTAAGCATTACCGTATGTCTTCTGTTTTCCAACAAACGTCAACATTTTATAGCTATTAACACTTGATAATACAAGAGCTAATTACCGTATGTCTTCAGATGAGCAAGATTTTGTTACTAAATTGCTGATGTTCGTTCATCTTATTTCCCTGCTTTTTAACAGGATCTACTAAACAATGGGGAGCACAAACAATCACTTATGAGGTGGCTACTCTCATTCTAGGCCAACAGCTCGTGTTAGAGCTTAAGCCATGTAAAGAATTGATGTTTGAGTTGCCTATAGCATGGTAGAGGAAATGGGATGATGCCGTGCTGGTTTTTATTCCTTCAGATCAGTTCTTTGTTTTTGGCTCGCTCCTTTTGCTTTCGTTTTGTTCCCTCCTCTCTTTGCATCTTGATGTAAGGTCATTGTCATTCTCATCTCTTCGTAATAGCTTGTTCCACAGCTTTCTGCAAGTGCCTGTTTAAGATTCCCTTGTGTTTGCCATGGCCATGCGCACATTCTTTCCTTCATCAATAAAAATTTGGTGTATAATGAATGGCGCCTCTACTACACTAATGAAATATAAAATGTCTAGGTGCTTTTTTTTCCCCGAGAATCCACATTATTTCTTTTTTTTTTTTTTTGGATGGGAGTATTTTTCAAAAACTAATTTTTTAAATACAATAAAATTTTTTAAAAAGTACTTTAAAAGGTAATCTAAAAATTAGTTTAAATTTTTTTAAAATTTTAAAAAATAACTCAAAATATATTCTAAAAACTCTTCTGCTCTTAAATATTTTAAAATATTTTTTAAAAATATTTTAAAATATAATCTAAAAACTCTACTATAGCATAATTTTTAAAAAATATCTCAAAAAACAGCTAATCCAAACTGATTTTTAAATTAGACAATTGAGTTACAATACCTTAACGTAGTAGCTAGCTTATATGCATCTGCTAATCTACCACTTGGCCACGACCTACTTCTACAATAGAAACTTTATAGTAAAAAGAAAGATGCAGTTGCAAGGATTATTCAAAAGCAATGGCTTGACACAAGGGGAAGCTCTATCGAGACCCTCTTAAAGCGTCTAGGTACTTTATCTTAGTCGATCTAATCACCGAATACAAAAAAGAGTTTGTAATGCATAATCTTGTACTCTTGAATTGGGTAATACTAGCAGCTTTTCTACCTGATTGTCTAAAGGCAAAATTTTAGGACTAATTTTCCACCACCAAGTCGAAATCCAGGTCTTGTGAACACTTCAAAGATAAAGGGACGGTGACAAAGTTAGCACATTTTTCAGAAAAAAAAAAAATGAACATCAAATAAAAGGGCATAAGCAGTACAAGAAGCCCAAATTGATTGGACGATCCTGTTCAAAGATCGACTTTTAAATCACCTGCAATTTGATAAATACTAAGGCAATAACTAACTGACTTTAAGATCATCTACAATTTGATAAAAATACTAAGTTGATAACTAACTAAAAAACCTGAATATCACAGACGATTTCCATTCACCACATCAATTCCTTCTCATTGATTCCAAATAACAGGACCACACTAAAATGCCACACTCAAACCTGTTCACCAAAACACGAAAGCAAGAAGCTACCTTTGGTGTTTAAAGCCCGAAGGATAATTTTCAGCAATGCTAGAGACAAGCATTAAATTCTGCATATGATGTTTGTCAGGACGGAGCAGCAGCTTGTTCCAACAAGTACTTCATCTCGGTGATAGGTCCATACGCCAAATTTACATGTCTATTTGAACGCCACGCACAAAATTAGAGATTTATGATATATTCCCTTTTAGCCTCTTGGTTAATCCGAGCTCAAGCCAAAGATAGTTTCCAAGGTGCAAGCTCGGCATCTAAGAATGCAGATCAGCCAAAAATTCAAGCCCGATGGAACGAAAAAATAAAGCCACGGACGCACACCCAAACACACTATCAGCAGGCACTAAATAAAAACTTCCATGAAATAGGAGGCATGTTCAGAGATTTGCAATAAGCATATCAACAATAAAGGCATCCCCTAATCTCTAATATACCTAGCTTATCTACAACTTAATCAAAGTCTGAAAAAGAGTTCTATATATGTAGTAGTGCTGTGCAGTGGTGTGAAAAGCCTGGAGTACCATGCCCGGACTCAGAGCTTCAAAAACAGCCGTATCTTCCATACTCTGTGATCCTACCACCAACATGATCAGCGAGGAAGACGGAACTGTTCGCAGTCCTTTGCACCGTACTTGGTAAAGTTGGAAACGAGTCCATTCATCATTTTAGCAACTGCTTCCTTAAAGTCTTTTGACATACTCTTGTCAGCAGCTTCAACATCAGGTGCTTTTCCTTTGACCAGAGAGCCTACTGGAGCACCCTCCATATAAGCTTTACAGGCTGTGAGAATATCACATGCATGAATACGGAAATGACCAGCAACCAAGTCCTCAAAATGCTGTAAGAATAGGTAAACTTTCAAACCAATGAATAGTAAAATAGAGATTAAATCATCATATCAAGATCTTTCACATCATAAAAGGCCACAACTATTGACAGTATTATCACATCATGTACTTTACAAAGTGACGACACAACGGACAATTTCAAGGGAGCTATCCGGAGTCATAATACACAGCAACAAGATAAAAATAAACCACATCTATGGCAACTGGATGAAGCAGAGCATTAGTGTATTTGTAGTGAGACTCTTTCAAATAAAAATATTTAGCAACTGACCTCTAAGCTATAACTAGAAGGGCTCAATTAATACAAATACAACTCTTTAACAGATATTGAATTTAAGACAACCGAAGTTAGTTGTCACGGTCAGCTCAAATTAAATTGCCAAAGAAAAACAAAAGAAAAACAGACTTAATCCATCTAAAAGCAAAGGAAAAAATGGATGTTCAGAATTAACAAATATTCATGTTGGCAAATGTAAGGATTGGTCAAAAAGGCAGTATAAAGCATACCCTGGGAGGCCTCCTAAGTGTGTACATCATTGTCTTCAATGACAAGATAAATACATTCTCATTGTACTCCTTAGAACGCCTCTCCCCCTCAGCTCCAACATAATGAGTGTCATAACCGGGCTCATTGAAGAAGGGTTTGGCATTCAAAATTAGAGCTTGAATAGATACTAGAACTTGCAGCATGGTTGATGTCTGAGGCATCCACTTCTCATTTCCCTTACCACTCCATGTGTTAAGAAGGCTGAGGCAGACTTTTCCGCAATCATACAAGTTAGGGTTTAGGCGCAAGCCACCAGAATAGTAGTAAACCATCTAAAAGGAAAATAAAAACACACAAGTTTCAAATACGAGGGTGAAAGAGATAAAAGTGAGGTAAAGAGCAAGGGTAAAACAACAGCACGCATACCGGGGGTACATCTGGGTAGTTAGAAGGAAAGTGAACATCAAAGACAAAAAGACCATCATGGTATGGAGTTCCCTGTGGTCCTACAATAACGGCCCTTAAGAGATCCATCCTTGCTTCATACACTCTCACAAAAATTGTGTCTGAGAGAAAACAGAATAACACTTTTTATATTGTCAAGAACTTCAGAAAAAATTTCATAGAAAAAAAATTAAGACTTACTAGTATTACACAATCCAGACCACCTATATATCCTAACCACTACTTACCAGGTAAATCCTTCTCCAAAATTTTCCACTCATCGTGTATCTTCTTTGTCCATGCCTTTGGTGGCTACAAGGACAAGAAACATGACGAAATTAAACATCAATACTTGATCAACAAGCAAGAACTTAAACATTAAGGAATTCCACCAATTCATAAATTGGAAAAAAGATGGAAATGGAAACTTTCTTCATCCTGAAATTACCTGTTGACCTTTAAAGCCCATGTTAGTATAATGATGGTCAGAAAAATCTTCAACGGTATCAAACGATTTGAAAGCTTCATACTTTCTCATAATTTCATCCTCACTCTCCTCTTTCTCTTTGCCATTTGAACTTGACTCTACGGTCACAGCTGAACTGCTTGAAGCAGAAATTTCATTTTTATGGGGACACAGATTCACAAAGGAAGAGCTCCCTGCATCTGCAGAAGGAGCTGCAGTATGAAATTGGGTTGTCACTGCTGGAGGAGTTGGTATACTGGCACTCATGGAAGATGCCTGCAGCCAAGAAACCGAGGCCTCCACACCTGGAGGCAAATCCACATTATCAAACTGTGCTTGCATACTCAAGTAATCACCATCATCATCGTCATCATCGAACATGTAATCATCATTATCATCATAGTCAGAAACATCATCATCAACTGCATCTTGTTTGTCATTTCCATCATCATGATATGACAAGTCCGAATTTGAACTATTTACATTTTCCACAGAAAGAGATCCAGAGCCCGACCCGCCAATACTAGTAAAATTATTAAGATCCTTAGTAACAGCCTCCTGGAGAAAAAACACAAAAACATCATCTTTATCTTGAGTCAGGCAAGCATAGCCTTTATCAGGGCAGGCCGCAATCCAATGATCCAGCCATAAACAAGGACAGAGAGAAAATACAGGAGGAAAAGCAAAACAAAAGGGAATATGTTTAGCAATAGCTGCACATGTAACAGAAACCTATCATCAGTTACAGCATCATCAATCAGAAAAAAAATCCTCCGAGGAATTCAATCAGACCTCATGACCCCCAATTGGGTAAATATTCCAATTGTTCCTTTAATCTCCCACAAACAACCTCTAACCAACTTGAAACATCAACTTCTATTATGCAAGATCAGCTCACCCCAAAAGAAAATCTCAGAGAGGATTACCTTCTTCAACTATAATCCCCTTAGTCAAACAATCTCAACTCTTACTCTCTAATAACCAATTGCTCCCCGACCCACCAGCTTTTGCACCATTCCTCCTCAGTACATCTTCTCACTTTCTAGTGAAGGATATGCACCAAAACACTAGAACAGCTCCAATTGTTTTCCACAGCCGGCCTACCTGACTAGCTAAAAACCACTAGTCCCAGTTCAAAAATCATTGCGATCATACAAATAGAATAAACATCCACAATGTGCTACTTGTGTAACAACAGTCATTAAAATTAAAATTACTCTTCAATATCACAATTTTCACACCTTTATCACAATGATAAAAACAAAAACGAAAAACAATCACCAGACCTACTAAATCCCAAACGAAGAAACCCTAAAAGACCCAATCTTACAGAAAATTCGACCCTACAATTAGTCAAACACGACGATCATCGAATGAACATACACAAACTAAAATCCCACAATTAAAACCTCCAACAAAAGCAAAATTCCACACAACATCACCAAAACTCCTCCCAAAACACTAAAACACCAAAAAAAATCCACTTAATTCGAAGAAGTCAGTTACCTCATTTTCTTTAAGCTTCTTCGCGACGTTATCTTCAGACTGATCGATTTCCATCGCCATGATTGTTAGTTTCTTTATTCCCAATTATTGACGCCGAAATCGATGAATAAATATATTTGTATCAAAAAAACCCTCGCGAATTTTTCTTTCCCTCGAGCCGGCGAGGAGGTAGGAGTGTAATGATAGAAAGAGTTATCTGCATCAGTTGTACGTATAGGTAGAGAGAGAGAAAGTGGCCGAGTGGCTTTTAGAGAGAGAGCAAAAGAGTCCCGTTTCGAGAGGGCTTTACATATATACCGGGTTGGGTTAACGAGTTGAGCGAGTTATTCGCGCCTTATTAGGTAGCCAAGGCTTCGCTGCCGTGGTGCTATGGGCGGACTGTCTTTTCTAGGCTACATTCAGGTGCACGCGGAATGACACCTGTTGATGGATGATTTGTTAGAAAAGGATACGGCCAATGGGAATACGAGTCATTAGGGGAGTATGGGAGATGGGGAGTATGGGAATATTTGTTGGAGGATCGTCGATTAGAGAATAGATGCATGACTTGGATGACTTCTGAAGTTCCAGATATGCCCCTAGTCTTTGTCGCTGTGTCACACTTTGTAAAAGATCTTTTCAATGGGATTGATTGCCAGAATGACAATTTAATTTGTACGACTCTTTATTTTAGTAACATTTTTTACTCCATATTTGTTTGTCTTTTATTTCAAAAGCAAAAAAGTTTACTAGAAGAAGCGATTACCATTTTTTATTGTTGGGGTACCCGTAACGTATAATAGTTATTAAACTCGGCCTGATTTGGTGGTTCAAATGGTTAGTTTCGTAAATACAAATGTCAAGCGAAACTTGAACCTTATATAAATATGTAATTTCAAAAAACACGACAATTGATTTCATTGGTAGAGTCCAAAAAAATTATCATGTCGAACCATTAATTCAATGATTATATCATTTTATAATCTAAGTACTTTATTTTATTATATTATAAATCACCGCTTCAACCAGCACATTCATAATAAAACTACTAACATTATTATTATCGAGTTGATGTGGAGCACGAGTTTAACAACTATCTCGAGTAGGACAGAAAACTTTCCTTGAGGTGAATGAAGTCAGCCCTAGTTAGCATCTTGTTACTCATGATGTTTATTTGCCTTTATCACTCTAAAAATTTATTAGAAACAAGAAAACCAATAATAGAACAAAAATTAGACAAATCCCTTGAACAGTACAAGTCTTTTCATTCTCTTGTAACGAACTTCAGAAAAAGGGAAAAATCAATAGTTTAGCAGTCAAATACATCATCTTCGTCTATGAAAAGCACTGGTGATTTCTATGAAATTTTCCTTAGAACTACCAAAAACCCTGTCCACACGTAATAATCACATCAAGAATCTTGATACAAATGGGTGAGTTTTGAAGTTTAGCGGTAGTGGGCAACAAAAAGTTGATAAAGAAAACACCGGGTAGTGTGTAGTTGGGCGGTTGGAAAGTAGGAACTCTTCATTGTATTCAATAGAGGAATTTGAGTCAAGCTGCACATTCTTGGACGACAAGGCCGAAAGTAAAGATATGACCAAGACTAATAAGAGACTTCGGCGGCAAGGATTAGACCCAAGTAGTTTGCAGTTCTAGCTTCATGACTCTTTCCTCGATCCTTCTCATCAGGAGATACTACTTCTATTCTGAGTAAAATTATCTAAGGTTTACTGATATAATCAGTCTTAGGTGAAAAGTTACTAGTATTGGACTATGATCAGTGCTACATATTTCATATACTTTCTGTGGCAGATTTAAGGTGGAGGCGGCATTGGGGCACGGGCCCTCACTACCCCTTTAAATTTCTATAGTATCCATAAAATTTTGATATAATTTCAAGTATGTCTCTGGAATTTTCTTTTGAAAGGAGTGAAAGAATTATATAATCCTCTAAGTTTGTTCATGAACTAATATTCTAAAATAATATGTGAGTCACAAAATTTCATTTGAAATAAATTGAAAAAAGATTTTTATTTCAACTTGTTGGTGAATATTTTTTTTACTTAAAAAACTAAAAAAAAAAAGTAGGTAAAAAATTTTGATGCTGTTTTTGCCCCACTGAGAATTTTTTCTGGCTCGACCGCAGTATACTTTGCACAGCTTCAAACATGTTTGTATAGGCATGCCTAGATTAATATTAGTTTTTGTAAGATGTACAGGGCATCGATCTCAAATCATCCCACAAGGGGATTCAATTATTAAGTCCATAGTTACTTGGCACAAATCTTGACATGTTCTGGCATTGGGCAAATGTGCAAGGCTGAATCCATCAAAGTAGTAGAACTTATGATGTTAAAAGAACTGACGATTGTCAGATCATAAGTATCACCATCAGGAATAAATGATAATCAAAAACCATCATGACAATGATATGTTGGACCTCTCAAGTTGCAGAAGCTTTGAACTTCAAAACATGCAATTCCTATACAATCAAGCTTTTTAGCCTTGCAGATTAGGTTGGTGCTAAATCAGCAAGAACAGAATAATTTGCAGATTGTACGCAACATGACTCGTGATACAAGTTCATAATTCACGGTTAGTATTGATGGTTTCCATTCAAAGAAGTACAACGCTTTGTTTTTCTTCCAAAAAGGAAGAGCCATGCAAAAAGTAGTACAAATAGGTTTTCAGTCAGTATAACATGCGACCATGCACTAGACATTATTCATGGATATCTGCTTTGTTAATTAGATAAGAGGATTATTCCAATAGGTAGTTAGTCAAAAGGGTTTGGATGAATTTGGAAGTTGGAACTCCTTTGCCTGATTAGCATGCTGTTTCTTTGACCACAAACTTGAGGCTCAAGAGAACATCTTGTAACAAAGAGACTCTCTGTTGTCTTGGTTCACTACTGCTTGATTTTTAGGCTAAATTGAGTCCTGAAGTTCTTAAATACACAGTAATATATATATATATATATATAACAGTAATATCTATAATTAATTTCTTTCCCATGCAAAAAGTTCGTATTGCATTCAATAGTATAATTAGAAATTACAACACAAATTTTAAAAATCTAAATATTCAGTTGACAGATAAACTTTTTTTTTTTTACTCGGGATGCAAAAACGGTTTGGGAATGAAAAAAATAAACTTTTTCATTGCGCTGAGCTAATGAAATTGAATTAGTGGCATTAGGTAATAGGCTAAAATTAAGATATTAATTAATGAAAAAAAGAGTCAAATTTCAAAGCGTTAAGAAAAAAAAAACATGTGACCAAACTCAATAATAGGAGCAAGGAAAAAAAAAAGAGAAATAGTTGTAGAAAAATAGAAAAAAAATGTGACTAATTATAAATTTCCCTAATCACAGATAAAAAGACAATCTTATGATTGAAAAAGAGAATTAAAACCACGAGTTGATTGATTGATTGACTAATTGATTAAATAAGACGAAACGTATAATTAGCGCAAACATATAAACAGTAAAAGGACTGTAAATTAAGGTAAGTAATTGATACAAATACATAAAAGGTAGGTAGTTGATAATTGATTGAAATTTACTATCAATAATGGAGTGAAAAAGAACTGTAAATTAATTGTTACCAAAAAAAAAGAATGAAATCCATCAAAAAAATACATAAACAAAAACAAAATTTTTTTTTATCACATGACAAAAAGATAGGACCTCAAGTCCACTTGATATGATATAGACAAGTAGAACTTGACAACCTAGCATACAAGAAATTGAACATTATATGTGTGTGCCGGCACGTGCACGCTAGAAACTTACATAAACATAAATTATGGCCGTATTGGTCCTTAATCTTTTCATAATCCGATCAGATACTCTTTCGGCTTGCAATTGAGATTGCTAGTGGTGTCCAATCTCTCATATTTCAGTGGGAGTGCTTCCAGGGATCGACAATGACCTTCAGCATTATCCCAAATGGTAGCTGCAGAAGAAGTTTATATCTGTTGAAATGTCCGAGGACACTGCTGCGTTTTCTCTTGTCCTATGATTCATGAATGATGTCCACAACCTTGTCATAGTGACTGGCCTCCGTCCTGTTCATTTCTAGTACGCCATTGATTTGAGTCCATGCGTTTCCCGGTTTCAACAAGACATCCCAACTAACATGATATCAGTCAACTTTACTCTCGCTAAGGTCAAGAATTACCCAGCTTACCTGTTGCATCATGCATGGTGTGTGAAAATGAACATTCAGTTGATTTGGCATGGCATCCAACTTGTACAGAAGAAGTGAACAAAAGTAGGTTCTCAAGTTGCCTCACAAGTCATTTCTCAGTTGATTAGGTATGGTATCCAACTTATACAGAAGTTGTCAACACAAGTTAGTTCATAAGTTAGTTCGATTGATAAAAAACAGGTAATGTGTTCGAATTTCGTTATCGATATGTTTCAAATATTGTAATTTCTAAAAATTTTTATAAGCAATTTATGATTTCAAAACTATGTTAATAAGAGATCAGTAAAAAACCTAAATGATGTGTGGTTTGAAGGACACGACTTGATCTGCAGTGGTGACCAGAGTTCAATTGGTCGTCCTTTTTGGTTTCGAATTCTAGTCATTCAATCTCATATTGCCCCCGTATGAATGGTCCAGCGATAGCGCCTCTCACCAGTGAACCTTGAAGTCACAAGTTCGAGTCTCCGCTCTGCTGGATTCCTCCGCGCACTTAACGTGTTCGGGCCGGGTTGGAGCGCCAAACCCGGACCGCAGGGAATTAGTCGACCCGGTAAGGATTGATCCGGATACAAAAAAGATCTCATATTGGGTGAGGAAACTAGAGATGGAGAGAGTACCAGGAATTTGACGATGAATTGACATATAACGTCTTCAAAACTAGTACCAAGATGCAATCATTTTGTAATCGGATAAAATATGGAAAATTTGTATTACATGATATCATCATCTTTGATGATGTGTGAACAACCAATTGGTACAATTCCTTCATATAATAGACTCCTTCCAATTACTACGCTGCGACATACCATAAGCGCGCCTATGTTGTTGAAATTCCTCTTTCTTTCTTTCTTTTTTTGGAGGGGTATGTTGTTTAAATTCTTAAGCAGCATTTTCAAGAAAAGCACCTTTTTTTTTTTTCCCTTATGATAGCACCAAAATGAGAGAACAAATGTAAAGTACAAACGGTACCTATGTATTAAGTGTTGAGCAGAAACAAGTAAACGCTTTCGGCCTTTGCCATCCAATTTAGCACTTGCCACAAATATAAGAGGCATTGCTTTTGAGCTGATTATTCCATAACTAAACACAACTAC